TTAACAAGCTGTAACTTTGAACTATTTCATGTAATAAGCAGCCATATAAAAGCCAACAGTGTTTTCCGACTGCAGCCCGGGTTCCGTTACGGAGTTTTTGGAAGCTCAAGAAGGTTAGATACCTCCTTCCATTTAGGGATAGGAGGAGGAACGTTTTTCTGATGGCAGAACCTCCAGAAAGGTTCGGTTCCATTCTGAAAGCACAAGCGGTGAAACCTGAGGGCATCTCTCCGACTCCTGGAAACCATCCAACTGGTGTTTTGCATCTCCAACTGGTCAAAAAACAGCTTTGATATTTAACCAAAGTCCTGCAGATGAGGACAACGGTCGGTGTTTTACCGTCGGCTGTGTTAAACCCAACGGCATCTTCTGTTACTCCTGTTAGACTTTATTAATGGCTGCTCTTTCATTACACGATGAGGGTGAGTCTATGACGGCGGTTTAATTAGTGATAAATGGTCAGAAGAAAGCAGATGACGGAGGGGTGAGGCTGTGAGAGGTTGACTTACCGAGGTTCCATTGTTTTCCCGGAAAATGTCCTGGTTGACATAACTAAAAAGCTTCTTTTCAAGTTGAAGAACAACCTAAATAAAAAAATAGAGAGAAATTGTTCTCTGATTAATAGCGATACTAATGAGAAGAGCACAAAGTAATTAGAGCACTAATGACCAGCGGTGGGCTGCGATGGCAGATCCAAGTCCAGGAACGGGATTACATTAAATATACCAGACTAATGTCCGGAGCAACACTAAAGAGTTTGTGACTGTAATTCAGTATATTAATAATAACTAATTATTACCTTAGCCTCTGGAACAGCCTGTGTTTGGGGAAACAGAGTTTACAACCCCCAGGACTAGCTAACGACTAGAGAATAGTCTATTTCTCCAAACAGAGGAAGTTCAGGAAGCAACCAGTAAGTCAGGAAATATTAAAGATTTTAGAAACAAAATCAAACCAGGAAAAAGACCATATATGGTCGCTACACCACAGCACTTGTTCAGTTTTTCTTCCTTTCATTTGTCTTGTAAAAACACTGGTGTAGGATGGATTTTAACCACCGACAGGAAGTGACCCATATTTGGTCACGTTACTGAACTTGGGTTGAAGCTTTCCTGAACAGGAACTTTGATCAGATCTCACAATAAAATAGCTTCATTTAAATTAACAATATAAAACCAACCTTTCGATCGTTGTCAGTTTCTCTAAATATTAGCTTGTCGACTTCGTTTGTGTCGTCGGTTCTGACGGTCTGCATGATCGCTGTAGAACACAGACTCTAGAAGACAAAAGGGAAGACGACAACTTTTCATTCTAAAACAAAGAAAACCATCATTACAAAGGAAGACAAGTTCTCTGAAATGGTTTTGTTCAAACACTCAAATAAAGATCATTTCCTTCCATTTCTACTCAAGATTTTCAGTTTTAGTCGATTGTACCTTCGTTTCAACCCAGTTGAGTTTTGGTCCACCTCACTGACATCACCATTTTGGCAGCTAGTGACAAATATCTCTGGTTTATATTAAATAATCTCCTAAATGCAATAAAAATGATCCAGAGCTGCTAAACACATAAAACGAGTTACATTCATTCCAGTCCAGTTATGCTCCAGTTTGGTTCCAAGTCTAGCCTGATCTGGGTTTTACGGGGTTATAATCTCATACAAGATTATTAAATTATGATAAAAGTCAAAACTTCTAACCAACTCCCAGAGAAAACGCTGAGTTCTTGCAAATAAATGTAAACTTTCCAGAGACCAACTGCTGCTAAAACCTGAGACGGAGTCATATGTGGAGTTAGGCGTTGATCGGACTCATTTCACCCGGGGGGGGGGGGGGGGGGGGGGGAGTTGTATCGAGTCAGAAGCCGTTTTTACAAAACAATGCCGTCAATTTGCCGCAAGCCATGGCGGCATCAGGGACTCTTAGGTTGTTTATAAGTGGTCATGTGGTACAATTGTGTCCTTTTTGCAAAAGATTAGGTGAGAGCAGCATAAAGGGGGTGTGGGGGCGGTCTCTGCAATGGCGCAGACTTCCGTTTATCTTGGACATAACTTGCATTTATTGTGACTGGAGCAGCTCTTAAAGGTGTCTGTCCCCATCAGTCCCTGTGTGGTCTCTGATGATCTGAGCTACAGCTCTAACAGAGAGACACCCGTGGAGCGCTGCGGTGCTCCAGTTTGGCATCTCAGCTGATTTTGTTCAAAAAGCAAAACTTATTGCCTGAGTTTACTTTCATTTTCAATGCATTTGCCAGCTGGAGCTCAGCTTTAACTCCCCATGTCATCATGACACCTCACTCTGTTGCGGCATGGCGCAATAGCCGTTTGTGAGAGAGACTTGTTACGGCAAGATTACTACCAAGGGAGGCGGAATGAATGCAGCCAAATTTGTGCAGCACCATGCCGGCATGGCGCGTTTATAAGACACACCGTCGTGGTAATATTACACCAATTTGTCGGCATGGTGTGTCTTGGAAAAAGGGCTAGAGACTCACACAGGAGGAGGAACACTTTCTGACACAACACTGGTCTCAGTTGGGTTTGTTCACTAGTTCCTTATAAGGTCACTATTTTCACAGTTGTGACTCAATGCTTCTTACACTTAGGTAATTTCCTGTTATGTGCTCTTCATAAAAGCTCAGGAGGTAGAATGGGTTGTCCAGTAATAGGAGGGTTGTGGGATCAATTCCAGCTCCCAGCAGAGATTAGCCCTTTTTAGAAGACACACCATGTCAGCAAATCAGCATAATACTGCCACCACGGTGTGTCTTATGAACATGCCCTGGCGTCATGGCGATGTGGGGATTATGCAGCATTTGTGCCACCACGCCTGGTAGTAATATTCCCACAATGCCAGACGGGTGAATGCATATTACGCCTTGGCGCAACAGAGGGAGGTTTCGCGGTCACGTGGGGAGTTACGGCCAAGGCCCGGCCAGCTGCTGTAGTGAAAATGAAAGAAAACACGGGCAGTAAGTTTTGCTATTGTAAACAGAACCAACTGAGAGGCCGGCTCAGCTTTGTGGCAAATTGGCAGCATTGTTTTTTGACAAAGGCGAAGGCTGCTGTTGTGTCCTTGGGCAAGACACTTAACCCTCGTTGCCTGCTGGTGGTGGTCAGAGGCACCGGTGGTGCCAGTGTTTGGCAGTCTGTGCCCTCTGTCAGTGCACCCCAGGGCAGCTGTGGCTACAGCGTAGCTCATCACTATCAGCGTATGAATGGATGAATGATTCACTGTAGTGTAAAGCGCTTTGGAATCTTCTGACTATGAAATGCACTAAACAAGTGCGGGTCATTTATTATTTTACAGTCCTTTGAGGTTTAGCCTTGACAATCTATGCAAGTTGTTTCTATTTCTATGCGAGTCGTTACTTTATTTGTGAGTTGTTTGTGTAGTGTTTCCCCTACATAGGCTGTGAAATCAAAAAACCCCACCGCGCCCTCACAGCCAGCGCACGGCACCAAAACGATACCCCCCGCGTATCACGGCTGGAATCATTTCTAGGGGAAAACTGTATATCGATGCGAGTCATTACTTTATCTATGGAACATGATTAGGTTTGAAATAATAAAGCGATGACTTGCATCCTGAATAACTCTGAGCATAAAGATAACAAACATCTAATAACATATATATAACATATAATAAACATCCAGCCAGGATCCAGGTGTAACTTTTCTTTGATGTAACTTGTGAGTAATGATGAGATTAGGGACAAAATAAAAAGAAGCTTTTTATATTTATTAGATGTGCCCCTCGGGATCACTGCCCTGCCTCTGATTCTGGCTCTGCGGACTGACCCCCTGGACTGTGTGCAGGGTTAAATTCTGCTTTGTGAACTCTCTTAACAATTAGTTAAACATTTGGCCATCTGTGTTTGAAGACAGTTGAATAAGGAAATCCCTCAGCCAGAGGTTCCCATACCGCTCCAGCTGATTGAAATTCAAAGCACAGATTAGATAATCGGGTCAAGCCAATATGGCAGGCAGAAAAGGGCTCTTTAGTCAGAAATGTCACAAATCTGGTCTACTTGGGTCATGAAGAAATGACACAACACATCAGAACAAACACTGCGCCTCCAGTGAAAGAGGAACTCCTCTTTGCTCTACCCCCCCACCCCCCCCACACACACACCTCAAACCCATTCTATCATGCCCCCCCCAAAGGAAATTTCTAAAGACCTAACAAATCGCTCCGTCTTCCACTCATTTAGGCCGTCCAAATGCAGGGTCAATATGGTCCCCTGGCAGCCAAATGCTAATGCGCTTAAGTGTGCTTAAGCAGCTTTATGCCATGAATAGGCCCAAAAAGCTGCTAGTGAGAAGAACAGGAGATATTCTCCCCGTCAAGAAGTCAATGTAGCACGGTGAGTGAAGACAATCAGACTTTTACCTGCAAACATAATGAGTTTCAGTCATTAGTTTACTATGAAGCTGCTTGGCTATAGAACACAGTCCTAATTGTGCTTATTGTGGTTAATGTGCAAATCACAATTGAAAAAAACAAACAAAAAACAACTGACATACTGAGTAGGGCTGCAACAAACGATTATCTGGATCATCGATTAATCCGATGGGGTCTCGATTCAATTAATTGATTAATCAGATTAAACAAGAAAATTTTAAAACTGCTAGGGAAACATTTTTTCTCTTCCTCCTTTACTTTATTTAATGACAAAACCTGTTTAGAAAACAGTTCAGTAGGGTGCAAAACAACATGCTATCACCTATATATATATATATATATATATATATATATATATATATATATATATATATATATATATATATAATTATACTTTGATCAGTAAAATTTTATGTATTTCATTAACATGTTCAGTAAAAGGTACTGAAAATACTAAAAACCATTTAATTTTGACATTTTATGTATGGGTTAACAATAATCCAGTTTAAATTATATTCACAGATAGATGCATTTGTGTATTAAATGCTACAGTGGCTTGCCATTATCTTGCAGAAGTGTTGAGCAGAGCAGGCTCGAAGCAGCAGTTCTACTCTGGAGCGCTGCAGACAGCTAAGAATGAACAGGACGGTGGGGGCATTTCTTCTGCTTGTAGAGTTTAGATGTTCTTAGTTACACCACCATCATGTTTTTTTCTGAACCCACTGGATCGTGAGCCTGCTACCCGCTAGCATTAGCTAATCTTCCTGAAGTTGGTGCCTTTGCTGGTTTCTCTGTTTTCCTCCAGAGCACTTAGATTAGCACGTTGTGCTCCAGTAAAAGCATCTTTCTTACACAATAACAAGCAGCTTACCTTGTTCAATAAAGTTCTGGGTAAAAAACACCTTGAAAAGATGTTGAATGAGTGCTACGTCTAAGTACTTTATAAAAATTAACATAGTTTTTCCAGATAAGGTGACAGATCCAAACTTGCCAAATGTGGGACAACATGAAATTCCAATGCAATGAAATGCATTACAGAAATAGGTGAAAAATGTTTATTCTGCCTTTCCATATCACTGTTACATGTAATTATTATTATTATTATTATTATTATTATTATCTAGGGCTGAAACAAATACTCGAATAATTAAATAGTTTAAAAAAAGTTACCATTTATTTTGTAAATCTTTGTTTCATCTACGTTCACTTCCGGGTTATACAATCTCCATCAGGTGTGATCTTCCGGGTTTTTATCAACAGACTGGCCCAGGCAAATCCACCCTTCTCAGCTGAACATGCGGCTGAGTTTAAGACAGCAAATCAAAAGGAACTGAGTAAAATTTATGTTGTTATATAAATATGCTGGTTGTCTTTCAATACCAGTACTGCTCTGTCTACATTTTTAATGCATTTTCAAGAAAACATAATGGATTATCCGATTATTCGACTAATTAATCGATTACGAAGGCAAATTAATCGATTACCAAGATAATTGATAGCTGCAGCCCAGGGCGTTCAAGACTTGGGGTTGCTAAGCTGTTTCTTGGCCCAATCTTTGGTTGCTTTAGCAACTCCTAGATACCACCTGTCGCTGCCCATGGCAGAGCCCGATGAGCTGCTGCACAGGTGATTCAACCACTAAACGTGCTGGGTACCGGATCTCCAGGACCGAATTCAATACCCCTGCTTTGATGGATGCTCTGAAAGGCACACTACACTACCTAATATGATTCCTTCTACTAAGGTTATTCATCCCCACTGTTGTATATTTTCAATGGATAGAGAAACACACACTTTGTCTCAGATATGAAGATTTCTGATGTTGACTTAAAAATTCAGAGTTCACGTTTTACCAACTATCATTTCTGGTTTG